ACGGAAAGGCCCGAAGTCTACATTCAGCCTCACTGTTAAATGAATAAAAACAGGAAATACTATTCTCCACGTAACAAATGACTCAAGATTTTAAACGACCCCAGTATTGAAAAGGTGCAATGGGACAGACATGTCATCTGCTCTGGGTAGAGCGTGTCTGGGGCCACAGCATCTGGGCGGTATCACATAGGCTTCGGTCCAATATCTCCTTTCTCTGCATCCAGCTTCAGAAAAGTTTCAAAGACGCGAACGATGAAAAATTTATATTACGGCGCAAAACCTGTAATGGCTGAAAACCTAGGATCACCACAGAGTAATAAACGGTTTTTAAAAAACCCCGCTTGGTATGCCTGGGCGCCTCGGTTGGCTGAGCGTCGGACTCTTGATTTCAGCTCAGGTCATGATCTCATAGTTCGTGTGATTGAGCCCCATGTCGGGCTCTGTGCTGACAGTGTGAGCCTGCTTAGGATTCTCTCTCTCTCTTCCTCTCTGCCCCTCCCCTGTGTGCGACCACTCTCTCTAAATAAAGAAACAATGAAAAAAAATCCTGCTTCTATTTCCATCAAAGTCAGGAACAAGACACACGTGCCCACTTGCACCACCACACGTAACGTCTTATGGGAATTTTCAGCCAACTCAAGAGGAAGATGCTGGAGGTATAAGAATTAGGAACAAAAAGGTAAGGTTATCTTTTTTTTTTTTTCCTTTTAGTAGGCTCTATGCCCAATGTAGGGCTTGAACTCACGACCCTGAGATCAAGGGCTGCATGCTGACTGAGCCAGCCAGGTGCCCCGCCCCAGAGGTGAGGTTATCTTCACATGCAGATCTAACCAGGTACCTGGAACATCCAAAAGAATCAGCTGAAAAACTACTGCAAACAGTAAGACAATTCAGCAAGAAAGCAGGATGTGAAAGCGAGACACAGAAATCAACAGCCTTCACGTAAATAATTAACAACTATTTAGAAGACACTCACAACAGCAACAATAACAGAATATCTAGGTACAAACCTAGTAAGAAAGGGGAACTTTAAAAAACCTAAAAGGAAATGAAAGTGGCCTTCACAGAGCACACTCTTACGTAAGAGGATGCAAACTTCCTAAAGATGCCATCCTTCCCGGACGTTTAAAAAAGGTGATGAGATCCCAATAAAAACACAACTGCTTTTTCTGCAATGAAATGAGCCAATTCAAAGTGCCTAGCGTTTGTAATAATATCAGTATTGTTGTTGTGAATGATTTTAATAGGAAAAAGCAATAATTACGTCAACAATGTTAGAAACCAAGATTTTCAGTGTAAAAGAGATAAAACTGAAAATTCAAGAAACGTGTGAAAATACCATGCTATTAGAGTTGAACTGAAAATGTCAATAAGAAAGCACGACTAAAATATACATGTATTTATATACCAACTCCCTCCGCTGACAGCACTTAAAAGCAACATCAGTCCAATAGCAACAATCACCCCCAGCAGCCAGATTTTGGTCTCTAAAACCAATCCCCACTGAAAGAAATCAGGACTGTCTGAAAATGGCCGATTCCAGGTCTGGGACAAGGAAGGTACAAAATGAGGCTGGGGGACATCTTACTGTCTCAGAAGTCAAGGAATCAAAAATAAATGCATCCATGTCAAAAAACACACACAGGAGTTAGCCCGAAGGATACCCAATGCTTAAACTTATGTATCTGCGCATCAGAAAGGATAACAATTTTAGTAGGGTTGAAGCACACTGAAATCAATGGGATCTCTACGTTCATAACGATATTCAAAAAAGAGAAAACCAGAAAAAAATCTTTAGGTTTTCACCGTTTGAGGGAAATCGGTAACTAAAAGGCAGAACATCAAGCCCGTCCTGATTTCCAGTAGGAACTATACGTCAAGGTAACCAAGTATCTCCAGTTGGTAGGAGACGGCTCTGCTTGAGGAAGAATGCCAGATTACGTGTTAAGTCTCTAGAGCCACTGCTGTCCTAAGGAAGCACGGTCGCATGGTGTATACAGCATTAGCATACGGTTGGTGGCAAACAGACGCTGGCAGGATGCCAAAACATACCTTGCAAATCACCATCAGTACTTCTGGACAGTGCAGATGCGGAGGGAAGTGTCATCATCTGACGGAGAGGTCAACCTGTCAGCACCCTAACACACTGTAAAATGTGGCATCACTTAGGACAGTCACCAGATCGGATGCGTATCTGGTACTAACTCCAGTATCTCCCGCGTTACGCGGCATTCCATCCAATAAAAGTCTCTATGTACAAGAACGACAGGGAGTAAGTGGAATATTTTACCGGACAACCAGCCTGACGGATTTAACAAGTCATAATAAATGAGTGCTGTGATTTACAACACTCCCACACCAGTGGTGACCCAGGTGTGTGGCAAAAGCAGCAAAGACCAGAAAAACCAAATTCCTATGGAAGAAGGCACTTTTGTCTTAGGTTTTAATTCATCTTAAATACTTGAGTATAATGACCAGCACACACTGGAAAATAGTCAGGTACTCAAGAAAGTAAGGCATCATGAACATCATGTGACAAGGACTTCAGATGACGTTATTACCTGACACAGACCACGAAGGAGCTATGCTTACCGCACCCACGGAAACGAAGAGGGTGACCCGAGATAGAACAGAAAGTATGAAAAAGTCATGCTGCAGGTTAGAAACATAACTCCCATAAACGAAGAAGTATATCTCAGGTTAAAAGCTGAACAAAGCGAGTTCAGCACATACTAGACAGACCTGAAGATTCTGAGCTACAGAAATGAGGCATGGTGTTTAAAGATTCTGGTAGCACTTTAGCAGGGCAACTTTAGGTCCACTGGCTATAATAACAAAAAAGGCTGCATTTGATATTTTGCTTTTATAGTTATTTACTTTTACTGTGTTTTATGAAAGCATTAGTCCACGATGGGTTGAGAATTAAGAAAAAGAAAACTGGTCCTTCACCGTAGATAACGTGAGACTCTCTCATCGTGAATAGGACATGGTAAGTCACAAAACGTTTGAAAAATACAGATGAAGATCAAAAGAAAGATAGTAAATGAAAAAGTCTAATACGTCCTGATTAAAGCCACAGAAAAAAGAGAGATAAATGTAGAAGAAACAACGGCTGAGAACTTTCCACCACTGAGGAAGTTCAATAACATAGGGGTGCAAGATGAATCCCCAAAAGGACTGATGAAAAAAGAAACCCACGTTTGGACACCCGGCAGTGGAACTATTGAAAACTCAAATGTTAAAGACAAAAATCAGAAAAGTGGCCAAGAATCACAATTCCTTTTTGGTTTCTCAATCCTAATGGAAGTCAAAGGCAGTGAAATGCTGATCTTCATTGTACTGAAGGAAAATAACCTGAAATTCAATACTCAGTGAACACCTTTCAAGAATGAGGGCAGAATAAAGATATTTTCTACATAAATAAAGACTTTGCCACCAGTAGACTCTCATGAAAGAAAATTCTACACGACATATTCAAATAGAAGGAAGATGATCCCAGGAGAGAAGTCGGAGATACAAAACAAACAAGAATGAAGAATAAAGCGATAAATTAGTGGATAAATCCAAATGATCACCAACCGAAGAAGACAGTAACACCGTCGCGAAGATTTTAAAGGGCTGGCTTAAAAGTTCAAAGATCCAACAGCCGGGGGTTCTCAGAAGATGGCAACAGCAGCACTTTTTTCTTTTCTTTTTTTTTTAATTACTAGACTTTGAGACTTACAGAAACATTGAATGCAGAGGTTTCACACTATCCCCCACCTGTTTCCCCTATTATGAACATTGTGCATTAGTGTGGGTGCGTTGGTTACAACTGATGAGCCAACACTGATACAGTATTACTCACTAAATACCACGGTTCACGTCAGGGCTCCCTCCTTGGGCTGTGTATTCTGTGGGTTTGGACAAATGCAAAATGCCATGTATCATACAGAGTAGTCCCACTGTCCTGAAAATCTCCTGTGCCCTGTGGATTCATCCCTCCCAAAAATGACTTAGCATGCGTACTAAGATGAAGCTAGACGTTATCTAAGCCAGATTTGCGCTCTGCAGGCTGCAGTGAGCAGACAGTCCGGATTCCTAGCAGGCGAGGGGCAGGAGAGGCATCGATGAATCCTTACATTCCTCCCTCCCTCCATCCCTGCCCCTGCCGGATGTATCTGGCGCATGTGCAGTGAGCCCTTGCTATCCGCCCCGCAGCGTGGAAGGCACTAGAATATGCCTGTAAGGGTGCTCTGGGTTCATTCGTCTTGTAAAAAGACCCATTGTTGTGAATGTATGGCATGAAAAATGTCTGATGGTTTACTACACCGGTCTTCTATTTTAGTAAATATAAAGGTGTTCAGAGGTTTGCACTTGACTTTTGGGGTCCTTACCCTATTTTCCTTGGTTTCCTTTACTTCGACCTCAACATCTCCTAGAGGAGCACTTTTAGGGGCCAAACACCTTCAGGCGGAAAGGGGGGACTATGCCATCTTGGGGGAAATTCAAAGCAAAGGGCACCATTCCCTGGCAGAACCCCCTGGGCAGAGTAATCCCCAAACGATTCATACCAAGACAGCCCACGAAGGATTATGGCTAAATTTTCACTTCTCTGAGACCAGGAAAACGAGGAGGCCCCACTGCGGTTTTTACGAATGCTCTCTTTGCAGCACCTCCTTTCTGAATCGCTAGAGTTCAAAGGCGACAAATGCAGGAGAGAAGTCCTCGCAGGGAACGCCAGCCGGCCTGCTTCCGACTCACACGAAGACATTTAGTGTATTACACCTGGACTACGCATGAGACGTTCACCTTAAACAGCTCTGGGGTTTGAAGTACCACTTGGGTAGATCAGTTAGTGGGATTAAATGGAAACAAAACAAAACAAAACGTAACAGAGAAGACGACCCTAGTGGACTATCAACGCAGCAGAGGAAGCAGCAGCTGGCAAACCACGAGAACGTTACTCCTCCCCTGAATGGGCACCCTCGAACTTTTAAAAGGCAAATGATAAAAATTACCTTTCAAAGACGGTAGTTTCTGAAGCTCTCTGTTGTTGCTGGCGCTGAACCTCGAAGAGTTTTGCCGCTTGTCCCTCCTCACTATGGGCTGAGCGGCGGGCACTTTTATTTTGCTGGATACGGTAGACGGGGTAGCAGGAAGGTTGTTTTTCCTGCCGGAAATCTGTTTCCAAAACAAAAACAGACAGACGCATATGTCAAACTGTTGTATCTTGCAGCACAATTAGGATCTGGAAAATATACACAAGTTTTTACTCCGGGATGGTTTTTACTCCACTCTGCCCTAAACGTCCCTCCTTACAGTGGCTGGAGTCCATGCCCTATCCCGCCCCTAGTAATGCTGGGTTTCTAGAGATTCTCCTGGTTCAAACTTTTCTCTTATGCATTTGCCATCCAGGCTGATGGATATATACAGGCTGATGACAATGACCTTCCAAAGATGTTCAGGTCCTGATCCCTGGAACCCGGGAGGTCTCTCTACTTGGCAAAAGGGACTTTGGAGATGCGATGAGGTAAGGATCCTGGATTATCAGGGTGGGGGCCCAAGTCATCACAGGGCTTTACCAGACAAGACAAGGCAAAACAGAAGCAGATGACAAAGCAGAGGTGAGAGCGTCAGAGGCACTGGAAGAAGTCAGAGGAAGGCGCCACGAGCCAAGTAGCGCCCGAGGCCTCTAGAAGCTGGAAAAAGCCAGGAGGCAGATTCTCCTCTCGGCTTCCCGGAAGCACCCGCCACGCCGACATCTTCACGTGGGCCCTACTGTAGACTTCTGACCTCCAGAAGTGTAAGATAAGGAGTCTGTGGTCATGGGCACTGCAGCCACAGGAAACTCACAGAGCAGGCACCACTCCGCCCTCGGCGATGTGTGAGAGCCACGTGAAAGCACCTGTCCCTGGAGCCTCAGGAAGTGCTCCTCCCTCTCGCCACCCCCTCCATGCAGCTCCACACTGCACTGCGGCAACCTGGGACGTCCCAGGACACGTGCAATGACAGGAGCGGCTGTGCAAACACCCGAGGGGAGGCGGGAGGGTGACGGGGGCGTGTGCGGCACAGCTGGGGGTCCCTACGCCTGCACAGGCCCACGGTTGGGGGGGGGAGCTCAAAGGTACAAGCACGTGCATGGCCCCCCGCAGCGATGCCGGGGCGCACCGGGCGTCGACCGTCACGATTCTCTGTGCAGCCTGCTCACCCCTCCCGAGCCTCCGGTCTGCCCGAAGGGACGGAGCTCGGAGGTGCCCGTGTGCGGCTGTAAAAAGCCGACCCAGCTCGCCCTGGAAGCAGGAGCCCACTAAGGGTCTTCCAATCACACTGGGCTGGGAGAGCTCACGCCAACTTAGGCGCCCAACGATCGGCTCTCGCTCTTGAATGGAATTGTTACTAAGAAGTTAAGAGAAGCTTTATTTTTATTTATTTTTCATTAAAAAATTTTTTTAACGTTTCTTTTTAGAGAGAGAGAGACAGAGCACGAGCAGGGGAGGGGCAGAGAGAGAGAGGGAGACACAGAATCCGAAGCAGGCTCCAGGCTCTGAGCTGTCAGCACAGAGCCCAAAGTGGGGCTCAACTCAAGAACAGGGAGATCATGACCCAGGCCGACGTTGGACGCTTAACCGACTGAGCCACGCAGGCGCCCCAAGACGCTGTATTTTTTTATTCTATTTTTTAAATTTTATTTATTTTTTATTTTTAAAAATTTACATCCAAATTAGCATATAGTGAAACAACAATTTCAGGGGTAGATTCCTTAATGCCCCTGACC